CCTAATCTTGTCTCGCACTCGACCAGAAGTATGTTTATTTTTGTGAGCGTGGATCTCAAATGTTAGCTCTTTTTTAGATATTTTAACCCCTCACACTCGTCAATTATACCCCTCAACACAATGTGTCCTAACAAACTGTTGATAATTTTAGAAAACTTAATAACCCTTCTTTCAACAATAGCATGTGTTCTGATGCCTTTTGAAAATATCCACTTATCTCTGAATCTCTGATCAACGTCAAAAATTGGGTTGTGCATCTACATGTGCATAAGTGACAAACTCAGTAGGATTTGTCAAACTAGCCCAACATGAAGCACGCATTGAATTGTGCGCATATATGCAAATGTTTTCACCATCAGAATCAGACAAGGTGTAATCACTCCCTGGTTCATAATCTTCATCATCCGCATCACTCTCTTCACCTTTATCTAAATATCCAAGACGTTTGGGTCTCGGCCTTGGGAGTGGATCATATTCATTAAGACCAATCCTATAGATAACAATAGCTCTCTTCTTCTCTGCATACACAAGTTCTATTAATGATTTCAAATCTTTTCTGAGCTTAGCCTTTTAACACCATCAAATTCAGCCAATTAGGGTCTACATAAAAAAAAAACATGTGAGGCTTGCAGAACCCTATACAATCTATGAAGGTGTTACACTTTCTTAGATTAAGCTCCTTATATATTACTTCATCGAATTAATCAACCAACACTTGAAAATAATCCACTTTTTCATTATTAATGTGATGATTTTTTACTGTAGTAAGGCTAGATCCTTCATCTGAAATAACATTAAATTTCAGTAACTATACACACGGGGTTTATAATCATTTTTTGACAAGATATTCATGTCAACAATAATACTGTCAATATAATACAAATAGTTATGCGAACCCTAATTTACTAAAAATTGCATCTTAACTAAAAAGCATGGCATATGTTCTATTTTATTCAAACATACATAGTTAATTGATTTTTGGGAACTAGTTATCACTTCCAAACAATACAACATGCTCCCTGACTGTCACAAATCCCTAACCGACTATTTACATTAAACAATTACAAACCCAACACCTATACTTCAATACAAAATTAAAACCCAAAACCATAAGGAATTACATACTGTATTCCGGAATTTTAGAGTCTTCATCATCAGGACGAGTGTTGTAATCCTCGCCCCTCTACATCTTCAATGACGGTGACTTTAACCGACACACTTAGACCTTCAGTGTTAAACATGACCGGTGGCGATGAGAACTCCGGTGACAAACCCGACTACCTTCCGAATTCGAATAGACAACCCTACCCCTTTGGTTTCAATCCTTTCAGGAAACCCTAACCCCTTTTGCTGTCAATCCAAAGAGGAAACCCAAAATCACTCGAAACACGAAAACCATTCGAAACCCTCCAATCCCAAATCCATATTTCACATAAAATACTTATTTTTGAGAAGATATTATTTACTTACCTTTGGTTCAATTCCAAGAAATCTTATTCCCCAAACTACCATTCTCTACTGTTTCCCTCTACCTGAAACTTTCTGGGTTTTTTTTTTATTTTTTATTTTTTACTTAGCAATATTTTTGAGAACTAGGTTAACATTTACTGCTACATGATATATGTTATCTTGGGATTAGGCTTCACTTTATTTAATAAAATACTATTTGGCCCAAAAACTAATATGATGCAATTGGGCTCAAAAACTAATATAATGGCATTGGACTCTTAACAAAAAAATTGGCACGCACTTCTAGTTTTTTAATAATTATTTTCTATAAATAGCAACACCGGAATTAGGCCTGCCATCACCTAAAGTCTACAGCTCGGTGTACATTCCAGCAGTTCCTAACCATCCTTTTTTTTGGTTGGCTGGACCAATTGTAATTATAATATAGGGATCCAATGTACACATTGCTAGGTGTCCCTACTTTGGATCACACGCACCCAACAACATGGGGGCTTCCAGAAATTACAATACTGCCACCCAAGTGACCAACACGCGCCCCATTAAATACCCCATTATACACGACCTTTTGATTTTCGAATCCCGATAACCGTCATTTTCTCCTAATTTCCAGTCATTACGCAAATCCATCTTCCCATTCGTTTCAATCAATTCCGTCTCAAACCAAAACATCTGAAAAACACAAAAAAATACTCCTCCGGCTATACAAAAACAGAAGTCCAACGGCGGTACTTTCGAGGAAGAACTCATATTTTGCATCAAAACCAATGATTTTTGGTTGCTGGATGATGAAATTAAGGTAAATTACGGTCAAATTCATCGGGTATTCATCAGATTGCTTGTTTCTTTCATTTATGAAGTTGAAATATTGATATTTGATCCGAACATTTATGCAAAAAGCTACGATCGTTTATTCTATTTCAGATTCTGATCCATTTATGAGGTAATACTAATGTTCTCTTAAACAATTGATTTTTTTTTTTTGAATGGGTTATGTAGATCTAAGATTATTCACTCAATTACTGATGTTGTTTCATCCACTTATTAGTTTTGTTCATCGACATGTGGTTGATTTTGGAAAAGATTAATAGATTTAGGCGTTGTTCATCAGTTTTCTATAGTTATTCATCTATAAACATGTTACTTCATCAATTTTTAGTCTTGTTCAGTCTTTTATGGTTGATTTGATAAATTGTTAATAGATCTGACAGTATTTCTCATTTCGGTAGCATTAATCATCATATCGATGTCATTATTCATCATATATTTGTGGTCAGCCGCATATTTGGGTTTGTAGATCTAAGGCTATTCACTCGATTACTGTTGTTATTGTACTTTTGTTCATTGACATGTCGTTGATTTTGGAAAAGATTAATAGATTTATGCATTGTTCATCAGTTTTCTCTCATTATTCATCTTTTCACATGTTACTCCATCAATGTTTTAACCTTGTTCAGCGTTTTATGGTTAACTTTGTTAAATTGTTAATAGATCTGATAATATTCATCATCTCGGTATCAGTATTCATCATATATTTGTGGTTTTTTTGTTATGTTAAATTCATCTGTGAGTAGATTATTCATCATCTCTTCCTAGATATTCATTAGATTGACTTATTTATTCATTGTCATTATGATACAAACTAAAAGTATATGTTGGAATATAATGTTTATCCGAAACTAACCGTAATGCAGTAACGAAAAGGAAAAAGCTGAAGAAGCTCCCCAACAAAGCAGGATATCTGGAAATGAAAAAAATATAGAATCACTAGAAGTAATGATACAAATAGAGGGACAGGGAACTAAATGGACCAGGAGTGTCTCTGGTGTTGAAAAGAGGTAATATATGTAATTCATTCATTTTGAATTTAGGTTTATTCATCCAAACATGTTAAATTAAACATTTAATAAATACTTATTTGTATCATTCATCATTTATATATTAATACATGTCATTTATATATAATATATATTAGTTATGATTTGTTATTCATCATTTTCAATACGATATAGATCATCCTACGTCTGTTGTTTGTGTACCAGTGACAAAACCAATCCTAAAAGGAAAAGAGTCGCACACTAGGACAAAACAACAGGACAACATGAAAAAGAAGCATCACATGGAGCAAAAAATAAATCAGAGAATCGAACAAAAGTACAAAGGTAACATATCTCTATGCATTATTGATATTCACCAGTTAAAATAATGTTTTCATCAGTTATATATCAATATGCATTATTTGTGATATGTTATTCATACATTTTTCATTTTGATATAAATCATCTCACGTATATTGTTTGTGTACTACTGGCAACACCACAGATATAAGACAGAAAAACGCAATCCACAAAAGACTACGAAACAGCCTAAAGAACAAGCATCACCTACATCTGATCAAGGTTCGATGAAAAGTGCAAAAGTTCAAAGGTAAAGCAAACAAAATCCAGATTGACTGAGTTTATTGGTTGTTGTGTTGTTCATTAATAATATATATTGAGTTGTTTATATGTTTTATTCAGAGGCCCGAAAGGAACCCCAAAAGACAAAACAGCACAGAAGGGCCAGCCTAAAAAAAGGAAAAGCAGGCATGATGAAGACAACCCGTTCCTAACTAGAGTTTCACCCCATGTTGTATGCGATTCTGTCAGAAAACTGGATGACGTACCAAAAAAGGCTGTCCCGGAAATCGGTTTTGGGGATCTTATGGATATTGAATTTGAGATATTTGACGACACATATTTGTGCAGATATCTTTTGGAAAACTATGAGTAAGTAATATATTATTCAACAATATTAAATTATTATTCAACTCTTCCTTTATGTATATTCATCAAAATTTGACTTCACATACATCAATCAAACTAAATGTAGTTATTTTAATGAGATTATTAATGATATATTTTTGCACGGTAATCAAACAGCCCACAATTTTCACGTCTCATAATGTAAAAAAACCAAGTGCTGACAATAGATGAGGCAGATGTGGAGGCCGTACTGGGCTTACCACGAGGTCAGTATGAAGTTGTAGACTACATTGAAGGAAAAGCTAGTGAAAACTACACAAGGCTGGTTGAAGAAATGAGAATAACATTTGGTTTAGATATAAACAAAGGAGGTCAAGCAGCAACTAAAGTGATGAACCATCTGGTTGGTGGAAGGATGAAAAAAAAAGGCAAGGATCCAAACCCGAAAGATATTACAGACCGTATTTACGGAGATAAGTTCAAAAGATGGTTCGTCATCGAAGTTGTATCAAGTATATTCTGGAAAACAAGATCACCGGAGTGCCGTTTTCAGCTGATGAACTCCCTGATCAATATAGATCGGATCAAAGAATTGAAATGGTGTGAATACATCATTACAGCACTTAAAGTTCTCCGTATTGGATTAGAAAAGGAATCCAGGACATTATACAGGCCAACTAGTCTTTCATGTGGTAATAATCAATCTGATATTTAATCCTTCAGTTGTCTATTGATATTCATTTATTCATCAGTTTTAATATTATTGCACAACATTTGCAGCTCGCATACATGGATCTTGTTGTACCCGATTCGAAATGTAGAAAAACACGAACATTTCCAGTCATTGCCCATTGGACGAGTGATGATGTGAATAAAAGGGCAGAACACGAGAGAAAAGGAAATTGGTTCCGGAGTGGTATTATTCACGAACAGCCTATAGCTCCAACACCAATCCCTAAACCAATTCCTGAACAACAACAGACTGTCAAGGTACAGTACCCGAATAGAGCATTTTCAATTATTATTTTATTACAATTTATGTTTTTTTTATGATTGACATATCAATAATCAAAGTATAAATATATTATAGGAACTGGATTTGGCCGAAAGATTTCAGGACATAATGATCAATGAAATGGGGCCAGTGATATTAAAACTTGGAACACTTTTTGAAGAAGCAAAATCTGCAGGAATTAGCAGCCAATCTGAGCTGGCGAGGTTATTCTTCAACAACACAAAAAGGATCAATAACATGGTTGTTGATACTGCCAAAGAACCTGAAAATGTTGATGGCAAACAAAGAAATGAAGGACAACAGCAGCCTGCAGAACATGACAGTTTTTTGGGCAAAGGAATTGACACTGAAAGCTAGCTGGATGATTGGTGCAACAGTGAAGAGATGATTGAATGCTTAAGAAAGTTTGGATGCTTCATAGAAGATGCATCAAAATCGTCAAAACCTGTCAATAAGCAACAGGAGAAGGGTGACGATGATGTAATTTCATCACAACCAAACTGGAGTCTTGGGCTTACCCAGATGAAGATTGAAGGTATTCTTATAATTGCTATTCATCTTTTGATCTTATAGTGTTCATCATATAACATGATTTATGCATCAGTATAAATTTGTATTCATGTTCAACATGTAATTAATATTCATCTTTTGAATCTTTTAATGTTCATCACATAACATAATTTATGCATGGGTATAAATTCGTATTCATGTTCATCATGTACCTTATGTTCCTGTATCATTCCTTTATGAGATAACCAATATAAAAATTACAATCAAAACTATAGCAAAACTAGCTGAAGGTGCATCAAAATCGTCAAACCCTGTCGATAAGCACCAGGAGAATAGAGACGATGATGTAATTTCATCACAACCAAACTGAAGTCTTGGCTTACCCAGATTGAGATTGAAGGTATTCTTATAATTTCCATTCATCTTTTGATCTTATAATGTTCATCATATAACATGATTTATGCATCAGTATAAATTTGTATTCATGTTCATCATGTACCTTATGTTTCTGAATCATTCATGTTCCTGCATCATTCCTTTATGAGATGACCAATGTTAAAATTACAATCAAATCTACAGCAAAATAAGCTAAAGTTGTTCAGCATGAAGCAAATGTGACTGAAGGATTGACTGCCGTTGAGAAGGAAAACCTTGATAGCGTTCTACAAGGTGCAACATCTATTTTCTCTACACCAAAAAAGGTAATTGACAGTATAGGTGATAACCCAAATCAGCAAAGTGTCAGGGAAGAAAAAATAAAAGAGTATATTGATAGGTATACTATTCTGTTTCATATTTTACACTATTAATATTCAACCAATTCAAATTGGTTAATCATTATTACCATAACATTATTCATCTTGTATTTTTATAGTGTTCTCAACGGGGAAAAGCATGAGCCAAAGAAAAAAAAGAAGAGAACTTCAAATATCGGATAAGTCATCATTTTGGAAAAAAGGATGGAAAGAACATCAAAGGAATCACTAAAATTGAAAGGCTCATATCTGATTATGCATTTGCGGATGGGAACGACATGTACAAACCCTAATCTAACCAAGTTATGATATTGTTACTCTTATTCATCTTTTAAACTACTTATGTTGATCACATAACTTGTATTTACATCTTACATCTATCGTATGCAGTCAAACTCTGTTTGAGATGCCAGGAGAAGATAAAGAACCCAGGATTGAATACATTTTCGTCCCACGACATAACATCAAATCAATGATCCCTAGAGTGCAAATAAGTAATGAAGTAGTTGATGCTTGGGCAGACCACATGAACCATTTAGCAGCCAGAGCAAGGACCAAATATCCCAACATCTACTTTTCATCCATGATATTGGTAAGATTGACAATTTTTATTTCATGTAATTGTTCATCATAATTTTTATAATAATCACCTATTATTATAAGTTATGCATCTGATTTTATATATTAATATCAATTGTGCTCTGATTATTAACAGCAACAAATGCCTACTGATATCAATAAAATGCCATTGGAGACATGCTATGTAAATGCAATTTACAGAATTGGTTATGAGCTGCGATGCCAAAAAATCAACAATAAAAAGTTTGATAATGCAAACCAAGTAAGTCCATAAACTGAATAGTTATAATGTTGAAATGTTATATCTCATCCGAATTAAAAGTTATACTAGCAACACGAAATATGTAGCTGTTTGTCTCTGTACTTGCACACGTTCATTATTACCTCTATGTGTTCAACATGCAAGACGGCCAGGTGGAAATGATGGACAACATGGACATAGCTATCAAAAAAAATATCCGTTTGATGCCAAATATGGGGAAATCTATATGTTTTTGGTAATATATTATGTGTTCTGATAATGATTACATAATGTTGTATTGATGAATAACAATCTTCTAATGATGAATACTGAATAATAGTTTAATTGCCTAAAAATGGGTTGAAGCTTTTGCCAGGTATGTTGATTTAGAAAGGTCAATTGCATATGCTAGATTTAGAAAGCTGAAAGAATAGACTGCACAGTATACATGATGTGCCACATGAAGACTTACAGTGCGTGCTCGCAGGGCTACAACTGTGGAATCCCTCCGCTAGGCATATCACTGGTAATTAGACTTACAATTGATACTAATAATATTTTTTGATATATAACAAAATTATTCATTATTAATTGTTATTTTTCTATTGCATATTCAGAGACAAAAGGATACACATAAAAATAAACTTGATCAGCTTAGAATAAAGTACCTTGCAGAGTTGCTGACCTCGGGCGTCAACACCAAATCAATGACCATCACAGAGGGGATCAAAGAATTGCACGCTGCAAGAAACACATAGAGCCTAAAACTCTTATTGTTTTTGATGAATTCAGACAGTCTGATTAGTGATTTGGAATAGCTTTTGTTATTTTATGTTTATTTTGGTTTTCAGTATTTGATTTAAGATAGCTTTTGTTATTTTATGTTTATAAATATCACAAGGATTATAACTTTTAATCATTATACTAAAAAATCAGTAGCATTAATTATTCATCAATAACGCATAAAAATACATCAATTGAGAAATAGTTGTTCATTTTATCATAGCAAAGGGTATCTTATAATATTTACATTCTATAGAATATGTACTGACCAAAAGGATGAATAAAGACAACCACAAACTCATGATGAATAATGATATCAAAATGATGAATAATTATATCGAGATGATGAATAAAAACAACTACAACTCAATATGATGAATAAATATATCCTCATACTGGAATTGATGGGTTCAGACAATTTGTTTATTGAATTGGAACATCTCTTTGGTTGAACAAATGTTCATTTGATTAATGGCAACTGTTAAAGTATTTTTCTTACTATAATGTATATGAATTCTTCTTACTTTTTTATTCAGTTTATCAATGAATTGTTAAATTATCACTAATCCATGATTATTCACGATAAATTTGCGACTCAGGTTATGAAAAAATGAATATGCATAATATATTTAACAATATTTACACAACCATCGAAGAACTGTTAGTTCATCAGTGCAATGTACAAATTCATCAATATGATACACGTTATCCATTATATATTCATCAGTGTATGACAGGTTATTTATCAGTTAAAAGAATGTTGTTCATCATTATTACATTGATATTCATTGCAACTTTCCATATTTTAAAAACCAATTACTCCTCGATTTAAAACAGTTATTCATTGGTATAATATAACTATTCATCCATTTTAATTCATGGATCTTATATATAAATCACAAGACAATGCTATATATAAAAGAACTTCACAATATCATAACGCAATTATTTATGTTATAACAATCTTCATTGTTCATCAATAACACTTAAAAAAATCATCAATACATGTAAAAAAAAATGGAACATTTTTCTGCTATTTGACTACCTTGACTTTTAACCTGATCAAAACCACTGAAAACAAGAGGGTGCACATAACAACCAATCAAATCAGGGTTATCAGAGTTCACCCTTTTGTGTATAGTCTTCTTCATCCTCAAAGCCACATTTCTTTTGTTTTGCACTTGCTTGTCTTGATCTTATCTCAGTTGCACTCTTCCACCTTATGTTCCACTCCACCAATGGCCTCAATATCTCAGGATCTTTAATATTTACAGTTGAACTTGTAGAAGCCTTGTTTCCAAACGCATCCTTGTCGCTTTCTTCAGGCATAGATTCAACCTCCATACGAACATTATCTGACAATGATTTCATGGTCTCTGAAATGATTTTTTTGGCACTATCACATGATTCACTAGCTGATAAAAGACTGATAAACTTAATCATATCGGTTCTCCGTAAGAAAGAACCACTGATGTCAAATTTAGCTTCATATGCACTGTCTAATGAATCACCGATTCACTGTGATGAGAATTATATAGCCTTCCATGGTGGTTCTCCTAGTGAGGGGAATGAACTAGTCCTTCATTCTAGTTTTGGGATGCCAAGTTTACTTTGTAGGCCAATCAAAGGAGAAACAATGGATCTTGACTACCGATGTGATAGGGAGTTGGTTCAAGTGAGCTATGATCAAGATGATGAGAATGTCACTAACTTTGGGGTCCAAACCAAAGGAGATGATTCACTCATGGAAATAAGTGCTCAAGAGTATCAAGAGAGTTTGACTCTAGGTGCTCCATGAATATCATTGATCAAGCTAGAGAGAACAATCATTTAGGTTCTTGAATGGACGGCCTATTTGATCAAAGTGTTCAAGATTGAGTCCATTGCTACACAATTGGATAGGGTGCAAACTATCTCAATTGTTTCAAGTGTTTTTCTATTCTTTTGGAGTGAATAAAGAGAATTCTATAAGTTTTGTAGTAAATTGGAGTTATCTACAACTTGAGGGGCGCAAGACCAATATTCCACCTTTTGGAAGGGCGTTCAAGGCATTTTACTTCAACAATTGTTGCTGAATTTCGAGATTAGAGTTGTCTAAGTCTAGGAGTTTATTTTTTCGAGTTTATCTAGTTAAGATAAGCCATGTGGGCTGAATTATGCTAGAGTGTTTTGTTTAGGAGTCTTAGATTCCTTCTAAGTATTATCCTATTTGAGGATAAGTCATTTAGATAAGGTTTCCTAGATTTTAGATAGAGTCAAAGAGATCAAATACTCTTCTAACTCTACTCCTACAAGAGATAAGATTAGAGAGTCCTAGTTGGTCTTCTTTTGTGCTTTGTGACTGAGGTTGCTACTCCATAAATAGGGGGCAAGGCCTAAAGTTCAAGGTACCCGTGTGTGGTCATTTTGAGTCTTCTCTGATGAGAGTTTTTCCTGTGAGGAATTTTGGTTAAATAGTGTGTCCATTTTTCGTGTCAAGTATGATTTAACCAAGAGGGTTTTCATCTTGTCTTGGATCTTTTGATCTTGCAGAAACCGTTTTATTCAAAAGTAACTTTTCAAGTTTTAACTATATGGTAAGAGTTAAATTCGTGTGCTTAAAGTTCTACTCCATTGAGGAGTGTGAATTTGGCCGAAAAATCCGTGTGTGTGCATGTGTTGAGTTCTAAGCCTAGTTGGTTTGAATTCTTGTATGTGGAAGGTGGCCGAAAATTGGAGCTAAAAATTAGGGTTTCCTTGTCCTCGTTAAACTTGAATTTTGGTTGTCTATTTATGTTACAATTTGAGACCTATTCGGTCTTGGATTTGGGTGTTTGTTTACATTGGCCGATTTTTTTAGCCTTTGTCTCCTAATGGTATTACAATTTTATTGTGTGTTTTATTTGAATCATATAGCCTTCCATGGTGGTTCTCCTAGTGAGGGGAATGAGCTAGTCCTTTATTCTATTTTTGGGATGCCAAGTTTACTTTGTAGGCCAATCAAAGAAGAAAGGATGGATCTTGACTACCTATGTGATAGGGAGTTGGTTCAAGGGAGCTATGATCAAGATGATTAGAATGCCATTAACTTTGAGGTTCAAACAAAAGGAGATGATTCACTCATGGAAATAAGTGCTCAAGAGTATCAAGGGAGTTTGACTCTAGGTGTTCCATGAAGATCATTGATCAAGCTAGAGAGAACAATCATTTAGGTACTTGAATGGACGGCCTATTTGATCAAAGTGTTCAAGGTTGAGCCCATTGCTACACAATTGGATAGGGTGCAAACTATCTCAATTGTTTCAAGTGTTTTTCCATTCTTTTGGAGTGAATAAAGAGAATTTTACAAGTTTTGGAGTAAATTGGAGTTATCTACAACTTGAGGGGCACAAGACCAATATTCCACCTTTTGGAAAGGCGTTCAAGACATTTTACTTCAACAATTGTTGCTGAATTTCGAGATTAGAGTTGTCTAAGTCTAGAAGTTTAATTTTTCGAGTTTATCTAATTAAGATAATGCATGTGGGCTGAATTAAGTTGGAGTGTTTTGTTTAGGAGTCTTAGATTCCTTCTAAGTATTATCCTATTTGAGGATAAGTGATTTAGATAAGGTTCCCTAGATTTTAGATAGAGTCAAAGAGATCAAATACTTTTCTAACTCTACTCCTGCGAGAGATAAGATTAGAGGGTCCTAGTTGGTCTTCTTTTGTGCTTTGTGACCAAGGTTGCTACTCTATAAATAGGGGGCAAGGCCTAAGGTTCAAGGTACCCGTGTGTGGTCATTTTGAGTCTTCTCTAATGAGAGTTTTTCCTGTGACGAATTTCAGTTAAATGGTGTGTTCATTTTTCATTTGTCAAGTATGATTTAACCAAGAGGGTTTTCATCTTGTCTTGGATCTTTTGATCTTGCAGAAACCGTTCTTTTCAAGTATGCTTCTTGATAGAATTGTTTTAAAACTAAACTTCTTATTTTCATACTACTTCCAGTAGTTTGAGAGTTGAGCCTTTCTTTTGGCTGTGGGTTTTCGAAATTCATGATGTGTGTGTTCATGAGTTCCTTTGTGGGGTTTGTCCTACTTTGTTGAATGAGTTTTGCTTTGGCATAAGCATTTTGAGGGAGTGTTTGTGTTGCTAATCTTTGTTGGTTATGGAGAGTACTAATTAATAGTATTCCTTCATAGTTGAGCATTGTTTGCTCCTACCTTTCTTGAGTCTCTTGATTGATGACTGATCGAGTATATTGAATAGTCTCCTTACTATTCTTAGTGTGAGTTGTTTAATTTCAATGTTTCATAGATTATGTGTTCCTTGCTTGGTTTGAGTTAAAGAGATAGAAATCCTTAGATAAACGATCGCCTTACTGTGAATTTTCCTCTTTTGAGTTTCACAGGATAGACAAATTATCTTTGTACTTTCTTGTTTGATGGTTGCATTAACGAAATTTGCTTCATCTACGAGATTGCTATCACATTGTATATTAGTATTCCTTTTGAATCTTGGAATAATATAACAATCTGGAACTTGATTGACGTTACGAAACATGTAAACTTTGAGACAATGTGCACATAAGAAACCCGAATCCGAAAACATGTTGCACGTGCATTTAATCTCATTCGATCGAGTATTGAAAACAACTTGATGAACAATCACATCAACTTGCATCCGCCTCACCTGATGTAGCTTTTTATCAGGGCCACCGTTAAAAGAATCAACAACCCAATGATTACACTGAACTGCGGCATTAAATCCTTTTTCAAATACAATATATGCCTGAATTGTGTATAATTCTCTAGAATGCTGACACATATCAACATTTGGAAAACACATATTAATGCGACCATTGTTGCAACGGTTGTCTTCATCATTCTCTTTTTGCCTCCAACCATCAATTACTTCTTTGAACCTATCATAAAAAGTGCATAACCGAGAAGTCTTAGTAAGGGATTGCGAAATTGACCTGTTTGTTGATTCATTCCTCTGCAACGACAATGCACCACTCGAAAAAAAATGACTTGCTAAATGCAGGACACCACTTCTCTCTTGAGACGTACCTATCTTTCAACCACTTATCATTGTGATAATTGTAAGTATCGCACATCCTGGTTGTTCAAAAAATACATAAACACAAATTGTGTATATTAATTCATCAAAAAAGATCTCATACACATCAACCTCACAAAATTATGTATTATAAAATCTATACTGAATAATCAGAGAACTTATTCATCTAATTGGGTTGTGATGTTCATTAGCTAGGTATAATTGATCATTATCTTAATGGGTTATGCATTATCTTATCTGTATTACATAACCAGAAACATTATTCATCTATATGGGTTGTCACATTCATCAGATAGGTATAAAAATTCATTATTGAAATAATAGATCATAAAGTAACAGTGAATAAATGAAACTTACAAACGCCAATAATGCTCAAACTCAGCAACTGTATCAGCGTGCCTCAGAACCATTTGGAATAAATCCATAAAACCAGCTTTGTTCCTAAGGTAGCCAATGTGCTTCTTCGAATTTTCGTCGATATGCCTTGTGCAAAGACGATATCATGCCTTCTTGAAAATCGAAGGGATTACAGCACCCATGATAGCACACTGAACAGTCATGATGGTTGTGGGTTCTTTGCTATCCATAGACTTCAAGAATTCATCAAATAGCCATTTAAATGATGGAGTATCCTCATGTAGCAAAACACCTACACCACACATGATATTTTGTGTATGGTGATTCATTCCTATAAATGGTGCACAAACAAGTTTGTATCTAGTTGTCCTGTGAGTGGTGTCATGAACTACCAAATCTCCAAAGATATCATAATCTCTTTTCATACGTGAATCCCTCCAAAAAACACAACAAAGCCTACATTCTTTATCATAGAGATAGTTGTAATTAAAACCTTCTTCTGTCTCTTGTGTTTCCTTCAACAAATCCAACAGCTTGTTCGCATCACCACCTTCCCATTTAACACGTTCATGAGTTGCAACCTTATTCCTAGCATCAGTTATGTTGTAGCATAGGTTAGGAACACCATGTGCTTGATCCCTCAAAAAACTGAAACCATTAGTAAGCCCAATGCCACTATCCTTCAAATTGGACAAATGCATAACATAATTCGTTGGAACTTCTCTTTGAGACAGAATCAAATACCTCTGTCTTAAAGGAACAAGATCATGACAATAACCAGCCACATGCTTCAGCACCTTCCATATCCTTTCATCATTAATCCTCAACTCAACCATCACCTTACAACCAACAACCGTATCCACCTTGGTATAGCACCTACCTTTTGAAGTTTTGACCCCTTGTTTGCTATTGTTTCCAATATACTTCATCAGTTTTGGCCTTTTTCTGTCTTTGAACTTTTTTATTGAAAACCCGATGCGTTTTTCATAACAATTATAATCAGGAAAAGCCTCTTCCAAAGAGTTAAAACATCGTCCAATTAGCACATCATCTGATCAACATAAAAAATAAAAAATTCATCACCAACGCTTCTGATATTTATTACTTAACGTTAAATACTCCTCGGCCAATAAATAATATTGTAAATATATCCATTAATAACCACACATTACGCATCAATAACTGCTTGATATTCATCAATAAATCATAACCTACATAACAACATCCGTGGGATACAACAATGAAATTCTATTCATCAGAAATCATATGTTACTCATAACCTATAATTATTCATCAGGTATGGATAAATATGCATTACCAACGGTAACAAAAATCATTAAGAAAACTATAACATATATTAAATACGATCATATTACCTTCCAAAGATTCAGTAACACGATCATGGATTTCAACCAAAGATCTATCATCACTAACAACAATTGCTGAATAAACATGATCAACATCATCGATTTCTTCTACACCATATGAATTCAACGATCCTTCGTTGGCTGCAACATCTTCTTCAACAACATTTGCAACACCTTCGTCATCATAATCCCAACCATCATCGCTGGAATTACTATCTATTCTGATGTTTGAATCTACACCTTCCATCATGAATAATTTTTCAGATTGAAGAGTATTCCGAATGATATAAAATATACCCAAATTTGGTGAAATTGTTGAATGATCTTGATAATAATGGGAACCATAACTACCCGTTCAAAATTTCAAATTGTTCGCTGATAACGTTTTGTGATCACATAATTAAAACGGAGATTTTGCGGAATAAATGAGCGTGGAGTCATAAAAAGTGGGATAATTACACCACTTTTTTTTGGCTTTGGGAGGTATACGTAGGAGCTTAACATTATTTGTGGGACCAGTTGTGAAGCGTTAGACTTTTGGCTGCTCAATTGAAAATTAAAATTTAAAGAATTTTGAAATTTGAATTTTAAGTTTCCCGTTTGGCAATAAGCACGTGCAAGAAATATGGAAAGGAGAGCGTCAATAATTTTGTTGGACAACATATACCATTGGTCAACATAAGTGAGTTTCACATCTTGACTAGATTGGCCATTCAATATTTGATGGAACAGTTACGGAAAAGTGAAAAAAAAAATAAAGCCAATTTTTTTGGGAAAAGTTTAGGATGATTAAACTTTTTAGTTTTGAATGAATAAGTTGAAAACTTTTTGGGACTTTTTGGTAACTGAAGACAATTTGAGTAATTTACTCTTTATTGTTTAAATATGGTTGTCCAGCGTAATGTATTCCTACTACATATTTCCTATACCCGCACACTGATAATAAGAATGCATGTAGGGAAAATTTGACAAAATTTTCAAGGAATGAGGTGTTTAAATCTTAATTATCCCTAACCCTTAAATGGATAAATCCATAAAGAAATGGTTTAAGTATGGACTCTTATGATTCTTTCCATATTGAAATTCTCTGTATGATTTTCATACACAAATAATTATCCGACTAATAATTAATAGAATATCCTTGCCTCTTTGCTAAGAAAAACAATCATTTTTATTGTAAGAAATGATATGTTTTCGGGTGACGGAAAGAATATAAATTTTACGTAGATCATGAATAACTTAATAAGTTTATACACACAGAGTGCCCACAATACATCCATTGATCATCAACAAAACATAAGAGAATTTATGTCCAGATCTGCTTCATTATTCGTAGCGAAAACAACAATATCCGCTGTATAATTCACTAATTTTTAGTAGTAGTGTTGAAATTTTTAAAGTTTGAAGGGTATTCGTGAGGATCTTTCTTGATTGTTTGCTTCAACAATGCCTCTTGCTCCTGAAGATTGGTTGGAGAAGTGTCATACACATCTGTAAAAATATCATCAATTGAAGGTTTTTCGATCTTTTCAGCATCTTCAATTGCTTCTAATACCTGAGAATCCAAAAAAAATTGTAATTTTGAAGCTGCAAGACTAGATAAACATATAACAATTAAAATGTATTGTTGATTTTGGTGGGAATCATTGGTTTGACAAATTTTGTCCGAATGGCCTACAACCGCTAGATGAACCTTCATCATAAATGAAACTGTATGGTTGAAACATGACATGATCGGTACTTCATATTCAAGAAATGTTTTTATTGCATTATTTAAACTTTTACCTTATTCCTTATAACAAATTAAAAAAAAAAAACCAAACAAAAATTAACTCCACAATCATTTCGGGTCAAAGGTGTTATTGGCATATATCAACCTACACTATACCAGCTCATGCACTTACTGTTGTAACAATGTAATTTTGATTATGACAAATAAGTAAGTTAGACAATATTCACATGACTTATGAAATTTTTCGAAATAATCATATAGAGATACTTATGACATTTTTTGACACGAAAATTCAATTTTTAATTATTAAAAACAACATGAAACGGTGTGATACGAAACAAAACCATATATTTTGATATGATATTCACTTTTATATTGTATTTCAAACATGTCTCTTTTTATAATGAAGTTAAGTAAAGTTATCAAATGATAAATGGAATTAACAAAAAAAAAATAAAATTCTGACCTGAATCTTTAAGTTGGCCACCAGTTCTTCCTCAACAATAGGATTCCACCAATTTTCATATTCAAGCCATTTCCTAAATCGGGTGACCGGATCCTGGGTCACTTTCCACCATTTTGATTCCTCATCTGAACGGTATCTAGTTGAATCATCTAAGGTAGTGTGATTCCCAGATCTATACGTAAGAGCCTGCCAATGCTCCAAACCCGTTTAAAAAAAAAAACTTTTTTTTAATATAATTCATATATTAAAATGTTTATTCTTTTTTGTGCGTAAGAGGGAGTAATTTTCATGATAATGGTTATTTCATCTGCAAAATGTAAGTAGAAGAACATTTTATAGTTCAAAGGTAGTGTGATTCCCAGATCTATACGTAAGAGCCTGCCAATGCTCCACACCCGTTTAAAAAAAAATCTTTTTTTTTAATGTAATTCATATATTAAAATGTTTACTCTTTTTTGTGCGTAAGAGGGAGTAATTTTCATGATAATGGTTATTTCATCTGCAAAATGTAAGTAGAAGAACATTTTACAGTTCAAAAGGAGTATGAAGTAGAGATTTCGGTAATGCTTACATATGTAATCTCCTAATTTTCATCTTTGTCCCTTAAAACTAAAGTCATGATTCATAACCAGTTTGTCACAACCAAAGACAATAGAATCGTTTATTAAAATTGTGTTTTGAGGCTCACATGTTGTAGAATTTTAATATCATGGTTAAAATCAAAATGCGAACACTAATTATATATATAATTCTTCTTTCTACAATATCAAGTCAGATGCAAAATAAATTAAAGATTCCTTGAGTGATGTTTCTCTTAACTTTGCAGTAGTAAAAGTTAGACTCAAATGCCTCAAATATGGCAATTCCACTGCAAAATAAACAAGTGATGACCACCATCGCAAAGGAAAAAAAATAAAATAAAGTAACAAACAAAATAAAAAACATGGTTGTTAAGTGATACTTTCTTAACTCAAAATGATTATCTTGATTAAATTTTTACTGTTTATAGAATTTTGAAATAAAAACAAAAATCAAAACTAGACAATTAAGAAGGAGTAAAAACAAGTAATAAAGTATTCAGGGATTAACTCACCTCAATCAAAACGGGTCGCTGCTGAGTGGTAGCAATTTGGCGAGCAACTCGAACGGCATTATAAATCGCAAGAGCGTCATTCCCATCAACCCTAATACTTACAACCCCATATCCTTCTCCTTTTACCGCAACCCCGTCACCTGTTTTTTCAAAAGAAAATTGTTTATTTCATGGGGAAACAAAAACATTAATCAAATGCAAACTATATATGCATATAACTATGTTGTATGTATAAACATGTCGAAAAAAAAATTAATTAATAAAAGGGAAAGGAATAAACATACAGCGAAACTGTTCAGCGACTGGAGTACTGATTGCCCATCCATTATTCCGACAAAAAAGAATTAATGGTGTCTCCAATACTGCTGCAAAATTTATAGCACCATGGAAATCTCCCTACACATGGAATTATATGTAAAAAAAGAATCATAGTGAATAACATAGAGTGGTAATGATATTAGCGAATAGAGGCTCTCCTTTCCCTTAGAATCAAATTGTAATTGGAGCTAGCTCCAAACAGATGAGTGCACCAATTTTCTAGTCCATAAAAAAAGAGAAGCAAAGAAGAAAATTGGATGTTGTCGATAATTGATACAGAAAGCATTTTAGATAAATTTGTTTTCATTACGCTAGATCCCTTTACCGTTGATTCCAAATGACATTCACTTTGTTGATTTAATATAGAGAATTCGATATGTCACACTATCATTTTACTTGCATTTAAAATATTATTCACTAAATATTCAAAATTAATAACGAAAAGTAAGAGAATGACTAAACAAACTGCTCCCTCTATCGCCAAAAAAAAAAAAAAACTCAATGGACTGAATTTTTTTTTTTGACAATCATAACATTACCGTGCTAGTGCCACCTTCTCCAAAGTAGGTTACAGCGCAAGCATTTGAACCATCCATTTTAAGCGAATAAGCAGCCCCAACAGCGTGAGGAACTTGAGCACTGCAGAAAACATTATCAAACAAATTAAAATAAGTCGTAATTTTTAATCTGTAATAGTACCTCATTTAGATTAAGAAAGTTTTTCCTGACCATAAAAAGAAATTTGATACTTATTGTAGGAGAATGAAATGTAATTATAAATGGAATTAGCAGTGAAAGGATATTCTTACGCAATTGTGGAGGAAACGGTAAAATAGTTGAACTTATTGGAGCCATAATGTATGGGCATTTGACGGCCTTTGTTCCAATCATTACTGTTTCCAAAACATTGGTTTGCGAAATCTCGCAAAGTGAATCCTCTCCACAACAGAACTCCAGCCTCCCTATACTGTAGGAACAATAAATTTCACAAATTTCGTAAGGAAATTAATGAGAAAAAAATTAAAATATTAAATTTCAAGATAACGTAAACATCAATATTGACGACCCATATTTCTAGATAGGTTTTTGAAAATTGTTATTTTTTTATTAAATAATATTTGTCTTTATTTTTTTTACTAGTCCTTAATTGAGACAAGTATATGTAGTAGAGATTATTAAACTTTTAGGGTGTAACTTTATAGAGGATCAACTCCATTCTCGTTATTAATAATAATTATCTAAACTGATTATCTTTTGGTTTACATCCAATAGATTATCTATGGTGAAAATTAATTGCATGCTAAATGTATATTAGAACCTGAGGGAAGACGGGATCATCCATTTGCAGTGCAGCTGCAGATGCTACATTAATGGCTTCTTCCCCTTCGGTAGTAAGATAAAATGATATTTTTCCTTCCTTTTGAGCTTCTGAAAAGATAGAGTCCATAGTTCTGAGTGCCACCATTTTTCTGTATATTTTAATGGCAAACTCTTCACTTACCTGAGAATTTTACAAAATCATAAATAAATGTAATCAGTAAAAAAATGAATACCCGGCAAAACATCACGAGGTTATGAGTCCAAAAATGAAGGGGTATACTTCAGAAAGATATAACAAAGTAAAATATATATGGGAGATTTAGCAACCAGAAAAAAATAACAATAATAATAGATAAAGAATTATTTATTAATTTGGAGCTAAGATTATTACCTTTTCAAAATGGTTAGTGGTTGGTACACCATCATCATCGAGGATTCTGTAGCAATGGATTCTTTCCTCTTGGGATTCAGGTAAGATATTTAATTTGGAGATGAATTTTACCTCTCCTCCTGGGTAATTAAGCACCTTCAAGCAAAAAAAGAAGATACACTTTGAAAAAATAAGAAGATTTACATACGTAAAGGATGCATGCAATTTATTATCTCTTAAGTTCCAAACATGTTTTTTTTTTCATTAAAATTATATATTTTTTACTCTATCCTCCAAAATCATATTATCGAATTTAAATTTTTATTTTTAATCTAGTGTCCGTGCAAATGTACCAGAGTATCTAAAACTGTCTACCATATATACCTTCGCGAAAGGAGGAGGTTCGAGATGTTGTCGATTTTCTTAAGGTCGATCGTCTAATTTGACTTTGGATTCTGTCGACATTCAATTTTCGGAAACATGTACCGGTGTGGAAAGACGAAAGACCCTAAAAGCTCAGAGAAGGCAACGAGCTAAGAGTGACATGAATTATAAAGCTTTAAATTCAGAGACAAAACTGAATTCAAGAACCACATTGCTAAAAGGATAAATCGTTAATTGAATTTGGGCGAAATGACAAGTGATATACTTATATTTTACTTATTTATTATATCCCTAATTTGTGATTTTTGCAATATATTTTGAGTACGAATATGCTATTTATATGATTTTATCTTTATTTTTAGGAATTTTACTTAAAAGGAGGAATTGTTGAAATTGTAGGCTAAAATGAAGATAAAAGCAACTTAAAAGGAAGAATTAAAGATTTGATAAATTGACAAGGAAGAAATTGAAGTACTTGAAAAATTGGAGGATTAAACAAGTAATTTTGGAATTTTTGTTTTTGGAAATTGGCCGAACAACGATGATGGTGCGGTTGATTTGGGATTGGAATTAGATAAGAATTTTAATCTCAATATTATTTGGGAAACAAATTTTCTTCCTCTTCAAGAAGTAGGGTTTGACGGAAGCCTATAAAAGAAGGATTAGGGATTTATTTTTTACAACAGAACTGGACCGAAAACTCACCGAAACCCTCACGACTGCAAAACTCCCTCCGCCGACCTCCACCTTCACCTTCTTGCCGCTGCAACTTCCTCCATCACCACGCAGCACCTCTGCCTCACCACCGTAGCAACCAAGCACCACCTCAAACAGACAGCTTCTCCTCTTTCTCCACCTTGCTTCCTTGCTCAACTCCCATGCACCACCAAAGCAAACAACCCACTGCTGCTCCACCTTGACCTCACGCAGATCATCACCTTCCTGCTGCTACTTCATCACCAAAGCCATCATCATCATCCCGCCGACCTCCACGCACCATCATTCACGCCAAGCAGGAGCTTCATCACCGCGCATCACCATCATCATCCCATAGCCACCACCGAGGCCACCTTCTTTCCTCCGTGACGCAGCAAACCAGCAACTCAAGTTCCCTGCCAATCTCTTGCATGCATCATCAATAAGCGGCAACCGGGGAGCTTTTCGGCGGCATTGTTCTTCTTGCGGGTTTCATTGTTTTTGTTTTGTTTATTAAATTTCAAATTTTTTGATGATGTCCCTAAACATTATTGAATTATTTTTGATAATGTTTAGTGGCTAAATTCTTTTAACCTTAGGGCTTGGGTGTAGCCATCGAATTTATTTGGTTTATTTGATTCATGATACTTTAATTTTTCCATTGATCAATATTTAATATTCTTATTTTTATTTCATTTTTATAACTGGCCACTACTTGCACAAGTTTAAAGATATTAATTGATGGAACGACAGTTGAAAATTAATATTAGTTCATGGAAATATTGGACTTACGTAGTGAACCACGACAATAAGAACACAACCTTTGCAACGTTAAATTCTTAAGTTCTTAATGTGCTTTTCTTCATCCTATAGTCACGACAGTAGTCATAGGATTAATTAGAGTAAGAGAATTATAGCACGACGGTGAATAGTTCTTAATTAGGTGAATCGTTGTGAGATTAATGAAAGTTAAAAGTCAGATATTTATGAATTGAATCAAACCAAACATTCTGTAAGTGAACCCGATGTCCTAGGTTTTCTTTGTCTGATTATTTGAATTAATATTATTTATTTTTATTTTATTTATTTTAGTTTTAAATTTTATAAATTTGAGATCATCATTTATCTAGATAATAATAAAAGTAATTTATACATGGTAATTAGTATTCTTTCTCTGTGAGATCGACCCTGCTTGCTACTTTACTACTAATAATTGTATTAAGTAGGTAAATATTATTTAACTAGTGTGAAGACGGCTCGTGAACAAGACACCAACTAACACAACTAACTATGAGTAGTACTTTAATACCATTACACTACAATGTTTTTATTCGTTATCATTCGAAAGCTCTCAATTTAGCACAATTGTGATAGTTTAATATGGTGAAAAATTAACAAATGACAACCTCATTAATTTTGAATAACTTGAAGAAAGCAATTTACTGAATGGTCTCATTCTGTTGCCCAACCAAACTATCCTTGATCATTTACATATCAGCCTCATTTTATTTCTTGAACAAGAATATGCATAATTGCTTTAAAACCAACAAAAGAAAAACAAAATGCATAACATAAGTTGGCCATGGTAGAAGTTAAACACGTTAAATCCATAAAATTATGTTGGCTTAAATAAGTCATTCTAAAGCTCATTTATCAAATTGCTAAACACAACTTGATTTTAGACTGATTATAAAAGAAACTCAAATATCCAGGAATGATAAACCTTCTAACGTTTTAATGTTTTATACTATTTTCTCTCTTCTTATCACTTTTCTCAATTCTTTCAATATAAACTAAAAAAAATTTAACTACCGATGAAGAATTAACATACCAGAAATATAAAGGATTAATTTAAAGCAACCATCAAATCAAAACCATGTAAACGATAAATCTATGTTTGTGAATAATAAAGCGAGTTTAAAAACCTTGAAATAATTCCGTGACACATATGCATCACAAGATCATTGTATTCGATAAACGTTATCTCCATCAATTTTTGTATAGATTTGTAAATCAATCAAAGAGAAAAATGTTGATAATATAGAGCAACACTAGGTAAATTACGTACCGAAATAAGTTTTAGAAGAAATAATTTTTCATGCTTAAAAATAACCATTAAATCTAGTAAAATGGACACAAAAACTTTATGACCTCATTCAAACAATTAAATAACTCATATTGCCGCCGCGTAGCGGGACATAAAATCTCTAGTTATTATTTTTTTTAAATAATAATAAGCAAACTCTGTCATGGTCCCAATAGCACTAAATTATTGGATCCATGTGAATCATGCCCTTCCAGTAAAACTTCTAAATTACTGTCTGATTTTCATCAGTTAAAAAAAAAAAAAAAACTACAATTCAGCCCTGAGTTGTAACTAGATCTACACTCCCTATACAGGGTTAAATATTAAAATAGCAAAAAAATGACCCTGATGCACACTTCATTTCCTTTTCTCGTTTTCTGTTTTATTAATTGTTTTTGACAATTAAGAATGAGAATTACTTGATGGTGTATTTTCACATTTTTTAATTTAATTATGATAAAAGTTAATTAACACAAATTAACTCATAATTAATAATATTCCCTCTATCTCAAAATGATTATCTCGTATGAATTTTAATTTTCAGTATGAATTGTACTAAAAGGAAAAAATTCAAATTAGATAATCATTTTGGAACAAAGGAATTATAATTTAATTAAAAAATATTTTCTTTAAAAAATAATTATTCAACTAGCTGCGATAGAAAAAAAATATAACTTATGTAATTTTTAAACTTATAATATGATATTAATTATGAAAAGCTAAATTTCAAAAAGATATGAATTGAAAGTTATTTTTGGCCGTTTACACAAAACTATTAATAATATTATTTAATATATTAAAGGGGATGGGATGGTCGGGGATTTAGGATGGGGGATAAGTATTATTAGGAGGTCGATGGTTCGATTCTTGTTAGGAACATCAAATATTTTTTGAAAAAAAAAATGTTAAAGGGGGTATCTAGTAGGTTAATCATGAGTCATGGGACATAAGGTAGTATTATGAAGAGTATACATACAGAGAAAATTAACAGGAAAGACTTACAGGGAATGATGTGTCAATCATCAAAACTATGCCCTAACTTATATGTTTAATTTTTAAATGAAAAGTGTAAAAATGAATAGTTATGATTAATTTACTGCAGAAATTCCTTTTAAAATTTTACTACATAAATCATTATCCTATTAGTGAAATTAGGGTGAGGAAATTATGGTAGATCTGGTTAAAACTCAAGAGTAAAACGTAGTTCAACCAAGAAAAGCAAAAAAAAAAAAAAACATTACTGGTATTAAGAAAAAGGTAGTTTAAAAATCATGCACGCATCTCATTTTTCTTGTCAAAATCGTGTTTTATCTATAACAAAGATGTTATTTCCCTTTCAGGAACAAAAAAAAAAGAAAAAGAAGAGGTTATTTCAATTGTGATTTAATGTATTTTTTGGTTGGACCGGACAATGTGAATTCTGCCATTTCAGTAATAATATATACACAACTGGTGAGCGAAATGACGGCAGAAAATCACATCGAGCAATCAAAAGTATACTATTTGAAAGAAAATTTAAGTGTTGGAAAATTCCTGTCACAACCAAAAAAAAAAAAAAAAAGAAAAAGAAAGAGAGCGTTTCAAAAAATTCATGTCCCAAAAAAATAGTCCACATCGATTTTTCAAATTTGTATTAAAAACAGTACAAAACTCAAAATTTAATGTAAACTATTTTTGTGGGACGGGGGTATAATATTTAGTATCTACGAACAAATTCTTTGTAGTAGATATAAGAAAATGGCGGGGCGAGATCAGATGAGAATTGGTAACAACATTGTAAAATGCCATGGTGCTTCAGAGGTCATAATTAATCGTGTACACGGTAAATCTATTTTTGACTAATTATGAAAAAAGAAACATATAGATTTGTTAGAATTTTTTACCCTACCACATACTCGGAGATAAATAACCAAAATTGAAATAAGTTTAATAAATAAATAATTAAATTCAAAGGAATATGACCGCAAGTACACCATTACCCAAATTATTTTTTACGGCGGAAATGCTTACGATGAAATAGAATACCTTATTGTGATAAGTAGTGTCATCAATTTGTAGGGTTTCCAATTGTTTAGCTTTGGCGGGTACAAAATATTGTCGAACGCCGGAAATGTCTGAACGAATATTCCCGCCTGAAAATGTTTGCGCGATTTTTGCATGTCTTCTAGGCATATGATGATCACGATGATGTGAAAGAGAAGAAGCAAGGAATTGTATTCTTGGGTTGAGATAATTTATCACACCTCTAGACTTTGAGATGAAAGAAGAAGCCATTTGTTTGGAAATTTTGGACATAAAAAGACTAAAGAGTTTATAATTAGTGTCGAAGAGAAAGAGGAAGTGAGCTACACTTGAAGACAGTGTGTTTTCCATGACCATGATATAGCCGTAAGGAAATTAACAATGGGAAGGACAAAAAAAAAAAAAAAAACAAAAGCAATAAAACTGAAAAGAAATACCATTACCAAGTAATGAAAACGACGGCTCAACTTATTTCTAGATACGGAAATCTTTCTGATTTTTGGGGCATAAAAATATTTTAAATTGTAGTAACAAAGATGGATTATGAGAATTGTTAATTAATTAGGTGTAATGTAAGAATAATTATAAATCTTCTTTGATAGTTTCATTTCAATAACTTCTATATATGTACTCTCTTCGTATCCGTGGGAAAAAAAAAACCTACATTACTAAAATTACAACTTTTCTTTTTTTGGCAGACTGAAGAATATCTACCAATAATATGTTGGACAAGTATCTCATGTAACATGTTTTGTGTATCACATCACGTGATAGATACTCTTTCAAAAAAAAAAAAAACTGCCAAACACTCTTGTAAGCATTATTCATTACAACTACATCCATACACTGAAGTATCCGAATTCCATAATTTGATTCATTACTTTTGCAACTCAGTAGAGCAATTTGATAGTTGTTCTGCGCCCACCAACACTATAGTGATACCTAGAGCAATTTGATAGAGCAATAATGCAAAAATATATGCCCGACACAAGTTTAAATTAATAGAGACAATAATTGAACTTTTAATAAGATAAGACAAGAATAAAAAGGAACCTCCCGGACACAATTGGATCTAGGTGATAAGAGACAAGTTCATGCATATTCTTGCAAAAAAGAGGATCGGATCTCCTCGGAGGCCATTGCGCCACCTCCTCCCGGTGGATATCTTTCACATCACATGTACAAAATAAACTCATACTCCCTCTAATCCTTATTATAAAGCATCTTCGTTTGTACTATATTTTATTTAATATATCTATTTAATTGAGAAAAAAATCATAAAAATATATTTTAAAGCTTTTTTTTCAATTAAAAATAAATATATTATGTAAAATCTAATAAAAAGTCAAAAATTTTTATAATAAGAAACAGAGTGAGTAATTGGTTATTGACTGGTAATGACTTCTCTTGCTTTTTTTTTTTTAACGATGCATTTTATTAGTCAAGAAACAAACCTTACAGCGTACATGACAACAAACTTGCCCTAGTCAGTCTATGTGCATTTTTAACAACAGTTCTATCTAC